TAAACCTCCTCAGTTCAGGGGCAAGTTTGGATCTCTGGGTCGCTTTAAGGCTCCCAGTGCCGGGCTGATCTTTGGAGAAACACACTGGGGGGTGGGTTTAGGGTTTAGGGTTTAGGGTTTAGGGGAGTGGGGGGGGGGGGGGGGGCTACTAGGAAGGAGGTTTTTGCGAAATTAGAATAAAGTATGTTGAGATATATTAACGTGAATTCAAGTATGTTAAACGTGTATACTCAAGTACATTTTTGAAGAAAGTGAAATTCTTTTTTTAGAGTAGAGTAAAAGTAGATGACAGTGCGCACAGTATCGGTTGTCAAAGGAAACACCCTGTCAGGCACAACGCTTCTGGGCGTCGAACAGACCCCGGCGATGACTCCAGCCGTGGCCCATCTGCAAAGGCTTGGGTTCGGGCTTAGGGTTCAGGGTTCAGGGTTTAGGGTTCAGGGTTTAGGGTTCAGGGTTTAGGGTGGTGTACCTGGGATTACGGACAGTTGGGCAGGTAGTGAGGGCATTTTTGAGGCAGTCAAGGCGGCCAACTCCTACAACCCCAAACTCTGAAATCCTCCGCAACCCACTCCCTTTTATGTCGAATCCTCGCCATGCCAGGACAACCTGCTGCGACCTGTGGAAACAAACACAGAAGCCCCCTGCCCTTGACTGCGGCAGGGGCTGAATTTCCACCAGGAAATCTTCTCCCAAAGATCCATGTACATCTACAGCTAAATGCTTGGGCCCTATAGAGGTAGCATATATAGGAACCCCTGCAAGGCCCAGGTATATACCATATGGGTACATGGATCCTTGTAAGGGTTCCATGACCTAAACCCTTATAAACCCTAAACCCTAAACCCTAAACCCCAAACCCTGGCCTTTGCTTTCTGGCTCGGACTCCGTGTCAGATGCACGAGAGGAGCCTGGGACTTGGGTCTTGGGACTTGGGTGTGCAGTTGCGGGTTCTGTGATGAATTGCTTAAGAACTCCGCAAAAAATGAAACCTAGGCTGCCCAGTAACCTAGGCTTAAAAAGGGTGCCCTTGTTTGTTTAAAGGGGTTTATAAGGGAACCTAAACCCCCCCCCCCCCCCAAAAAAAGGGAATACGGGTACTGCTGGGCATCCTCGAAACATAATCATCCCTACATTGCATCTCTACATTGCTTGCCCCTTTAAGGAAGATTTGTGTTTTTTGCCTGGGGGTTCGTAGGCAAATGCTAGTTCTGTGATGATTGCCAGTGAAGCAGAACATCGAATGGAGCACATATTGGACACCAATCCAGCACGGCATCCGCTAAACCCTAAACCCCAAACCCCAAACCCCAAACCCTAAACCACTCTTTCATATATAATATAAATGTTAATGACTTTGCGGGCAAGGTCCTATATTTAGCGGGCAAGGTCCTATATTTAGCGGGCAAGGTCATATATTTAGCGGGCAAGGTCATATATTTAGCGGGCAAGGTCATATATTTAGTGGGCAAGGTCCATTGGCTAAAAAATGACCTTGCCCACTAAATATATGACCTTGCCCGCTAAAGGGCGACCTTGCCCACTAAATATATGACCTTGCCCGCTAAATATATGACCTTGCCCGCTAAATATATGACCTTGCCCGCTAAATATATGACCTTGCCCGCTAAATATATGGCCCGGGCCAGGTCATATATTTAGCGGGCAAGGTCATATATTTAGCGGGCAAGGTCCTATATTTAGCGGGCAAGGTCCTATATTTAGCGGGCAAGGTCCTATATTTAGCGGGCAAGGTCATATATTTAGCGGGCAAGGTCATATATTTAGCGGGCAAGGTCGGTCCCCCCCCCCCCCACTCCCCCCCCCAACCCCCCCCACCCCCCCCCCCCCCCCAACCCCCCACCCCCCCCCCCCCCCCCGCCCCCCCACCCCACCCCCCCCCCCCCCCCCCCCCCCCCCCCACCCTCCCCCCCCCCCCCCCCCCCCCCCCCCCCCCCCCCCCCCCACCCCCCACCCCCCCCCCCCACCCCCCCCCCCCCCCCCCCCCCCCCCCCCCCCCCCGCCCCCCCCGCCCCCCGAGCCCCTCAAAAGAGTCGATTTAAGATGGCTTCCAAAGAATAAGTTCCCGAATGACCGCGCCTGTTTTTGAGGCCCCTGAAGCCCCTCAAACGACTCAAGAACTCAAGATGGCTTCCAAAGAATAAGTTCCCGAATGGAAACATGTGGTTAACAAATCCATTCTGTTGACCACGTTGGTTTTCTTGCCCGCTTGAAACAGAAACATGTGGTTGACAAATCCATTCTGTTGACCACGTTTGGTTTTCTTGTCCGCTTGAAACAGACACATGTGGTTAACAAATCCATTCTGTTGACCACGTGCCTAGAGAAGAAGGAGGTTGGATATTTTTCCTAATGGTGTGGGACCCAATGGGCGGGTGGGTATTCCCCTGTGGCCTTGAAAGCTGCTCAACTAGTGAATGCTTGGACCAGAGATGCTGAACCCTAAACCCTAAACCCTAACCCGAAACCCTAAACATGCTCAGGTAAGCTGATTGTACTCGTTCGCCGATCGAAAGCCACTCCCACACTGGCTTGTTGCCCTCTTATAGAGCCCGTTTGCTGCGTGCTTGTCTCGCCCTAACTCTTAGTTTAGGGTTTAGGGTTTAGGGTTTCGGGTTTTTGGCCCAAAGGCCTTCTAATGTAAGGTTTCTGGGCTACTTTGAGCCTAAGGGTGATGACCCTTTACCCGAAGCAGCTTGAGACCATCAAGCAGCTATGCACCAAAACCCAAAACCCAAAACCCAAAACCCTAAACCCTAAACCCTAAACCCTAACCCTACACCCTAAACCCTAAACCCTAAACCCTAAACCCTCAACCCTAAACCCTAAACCCCAAACCCTAAACCCTAAACCCTAAACCCTAAACCCCAAACCCTAACAAACGCTGAGTCTGCGGCAAGGAAGGTCATGGCCATGATCTGGCTTGGGGCTCGTCGGACCTCCTGGATTTACTTGTTGCTGTTGTGGCCAACTAAGGACTATAAGCCATACACCTAAACCCTAAACCCTAAACCCTAAACCCTAAACCCCAAACCCTAGACCCTAAACCACACCAAAATATCCCGTGGGCTCTGGGAGCCTAAATGTTCAAAATTCGGATTTATGGCTTAGGGATTAGGGTTTGGGGTATAGGGTGTCGGCTTCTTTTCCCGATTCGACAGTCCAAAGAACCCCAAACCCTCTCTACCCTACAAGCCCTGTGAACCCTAAATGGCCCAGTTCAAAATGGCACCATCCTTCCTACAATCCCTAAATAAAACGTCTCAACTAAATAGGCCCAAGACTTGCGCTGGGGGCCGGCTTGAATGACTGTTCAGTGGCCAGAGGTTTTATGAGATTATACGAAGGTTTCTAGTGGACACTAAGTAGACTTACGAACCCTAAACCATACAGCCTAACCCCTAAACCCCTAACCCTAAACCCTAAGCCCTAACCCTAAACCCTTTTGAGCAACGGACTAAACCCTAAACCCTAAACCCTAAACCCTATACACCCTAAACACCCTAAACACCCTAAACCCTGCACCCTAAACCCTAATCCCTAGAATCCCTAAACCCCAAACCCTAAACCATGAACCCTCTAAGCCCTAAACCCTAGACCCTAAACCCTAAACCCTAAACCCTAACCCTAAACCCTAAACCCGAAACCAAGCCAAAAAAGAGCTTCCAAGCAGGATCCGCCCCACGCTCCAAAGGAAGGCCAAGGATGCCAGCTCGGGGTTTAGGGTTTAGGGTTTAGGGTTTAGGGTTCAGGGTTTAGGGTTTAGGGTTTAGGGTATAGGGTTTAGGGTTTAGGGTTTGGGGATTAGGGCTTATATGGTTTGGGTTCTAGGGTTTGGGGTTTGGGGTTTTGGGTTTGGGGTTTAAAGTTTAGGGTTTGGGGTTTCGGGTTTGGTTTTTTGTTTTGTTTTCTTGCCACCTGCCTAGCAGCCTCGCACCACACTGCAGGCCTGCAAATCGTGGCACGTCTCGTCTGTAGTCTCCGTTTGGGTTCAGGGTTTCGGATTTAGTGTTTAGGGTTAGGGTTTAGGGTTAAAGGTAGTTAAGGGGGCACCAATTTTACCAACCTTTTGGATTTCTTTCTCAAGGACTAAGTCTTGTGGGGTATGTTTGGGGGACCTTTGTAAGCTGGCCATCTAGTCTGTCATAAACCCTAAACCCTAAACCCTAAACCCTAAACCCTAAACCCTAAACCCTAAACCCTAAACCCTAAACCATCCTAGAACGCAGCAAGCAGATCCTCAACCCAACAAACCTCCACACCTGGAAGCGCTAAATCCTAGAATGGGGGCAAGCCCATCAGAGACCGGAAGCAAAGATTGGTTCAGATGCCCTGCAAACTTAAAACCCCACACCCTCTCCCCTCCTAAAAAACAAGAGAAAGATGACAACTGAATAAGCGATGTATCTTCTGGCGGCATTTATCTTCCCGCTGCTGGCAGCTAGTGGGCAGGCTCATCGTCGGGAGGAAGCGGCGCCAACAATTCCCCTGTGACGGGAGCCGCCATTCTATTCTCCTACCCTAAACCACCTGATCGATTTGTTTCAGAGATGGAGCCCCAAATAGCCCTAAGGACCGGCATACCTATATTCTTCTCAATATGAATATGGAGTTTAGGGTTTAGGGCTTAGGGATTAGGGTTTGGGGTTTAGGAAAAAGGGTCTAGGTTTAGGGGGCTTACACAAAGCTGCAGAGATTGAGCTTCAAAGTGATCTCGGTCTTGCCACGAGAAACATCGTCCACAGATGTAACTCAGCAGCTGAAAGGAGGACACTGAAGTGGGACTGGGTTCCGAGGGCGGTGGTGACCGGGCAGGTGAGACTGACTGAGAGGCTGAAAGCTTGCCTTTCAGGCGTGTGAAGATGTTGCGCGCAGATTCACTTAGCTGCTGAGCTCACTAACCCCAACTTTCAGTTCTATAGGGGAGTAGGAGTATCCCAAAAAAAGTGTAAAGTGTACTCAGCTCCTAAGTTCAAATTCTAAGGGGACAGTAGGAAGGCGGCCATTTGCTGCACCTCCTCCATGATGTACCGCAGCTCGCTCGGCTCTTCACAAACAGCGCCGGCGGCGCTCAAAGCTGCAATGTCCACAGGCCTCTCTGTCTTGCGGTTTACTACTATTTTCTTAAGAACCACCCCCAAAGAAAAAAAGCAACCCTTTTTTTGCCCTTATAAGGAAGAGTATACAGATATATACATATAGATACATATATATATATATATATATACATATATATATATATACAAATATTGTTTTTTTTTTTTTTTTTTTTTGCGGGGGGTCTTACGCAATTGGTAGTTTAGGGCTTAGGGTATTGAGGGGTTTGGGAAGGCGACTGGCATGGCTACATCCGAATTCTGCTAGAGCCTAAACCCTAAACCCTAAACTTGGGTTCGGCCGGTCCACACTAACAGTCAAATAACGCCGTGGCCTTATAACACACAGGCCAAAAATAGCACCAGGAAACCCAGTCAATTTTAGCATTTACCGGGTGCTTCTTTTTGTGGGTCTGCTGGTGGTGACTGCTAGGCACATAGCAGCAGAAATAGCACCAGAAATATCACCAGAAATAGCACAAACAATAGCACAAAAAATAGCACCAGAAATAGCACCAGGAATAGCACAAAAAATTGCACCAGAAATAGCACCAGGAATAGCACACAAAAATAGCACCAGGAATAGCAGGAATCCCAGTCAGTTTTTTGGCATTTACCGGGTGCTTTTATTTGTGGGTCTGCTGGTGGTGACTGCTAGTGTGGACCGGCCGAACCCAACCCTAAACCCTAAACCCTAAACCCTAAACCCTGTTTTTGAGTGACAGATGTCTTCCGAGACATGTCCGCTGAGATCGCGAATTCAGCGGTAACTAAGACGCTGTGCTCCTGCAAGAAGATGCCCCCCTAAACCCTAAACCCTAAACCCTAAAATCCTGAACCCTGAACTCTGAACCCTGAACCCTAAACCCTAAACCCTAAACCCTAAACCCTAAACCCTAAACCCTAAACCCTAAACCCGAAACCCTGAACCCTGTCGCCAGGGTGCAGCCGCGCCCCTCGAAAGGCGACGAGAAGCTGCGAGGCAGATCTCCAGCTTCGGCCTTTGCTTGGTCTCGGGTTTGGGGTTTGGGGTTTAGGGTTTAGGGTTTGGGGTTTGGGGTTTAGGGTTTGGGGTTTGGGGTTTAGGGTTTGGGGTTTGGGGTTTGGGGTTTGGGGTTTGGGGTTTAGGGTTTGGGGTTTAGGGTTTGGGGTTTAGGGTTTGGCTCCAATCGCACTTCAGCAGCTTTTGGGTAGGGCCAGGTACCTGATGCGGTGAACAAACCCGTGCTGCGCCAAGTGCCATCAGTACAGGGTTTATATAGGGTTTAGGGGTCTATGGGGTCCAGGCTTCAGGGCTCTGCGTTGGGGAGTTTCGGAGGTTTAAGGTATAAAGTGGCTCAATGGGTTTAGCAGGACCCCGGATTATGCACTACTTGCTTAGTTGGCATAGCCTAAGAAAAGCGGTGCGCTTTTCTGCTTAGTCGGGAAGGGGAATCTAAGCCCAGATCGGCTTCAGCCTGCATTTGCTTCAGAGAGCTTCAACCATGAACTTCTCAATGAAGCGGTTTGATTTGCGCATCGACTTCGGAAGACCCTAAACCCTAAACCCTAAACCCTACACCCTAAACCCTAAAACCCTAAACCCTAAAACCCTAAACCCTGCAGAGTAGGGAGTCTCAGAAATGTGCCCGGCCAAGCCCAGACGTTTCCGTTTGGGGCCACGGCTGATCAAGAACAGCCCGGGAGGACTCTGAGATAGTCACCCTTACTAAATAGTACATGCTGAGGGCTTAAAAAGGGGTTCCTATACAGGAGCTTCATGTCACTACATGGGCACTTAGGGAGTTGGGGGCCTATTTGAGGTGAGATGTGTGACAAGTAGCCCACGGAACACGCGCCCAGGGCCGAGCTAAGGCTAAACGCGTCCGGAAGCTGCCCAGACGCAGTTGCAAGGTCCTTGGCGGTTTGTCTAGGACTCTTACCCTTAAGGATCCAGCAGCTATGTAGTAGATACTTGGGCCTTAAAGGGGGTCCTGTATAGTAGCCTTAGGGCCTAAGTATATGGGCTTGTTGTCTAGGACTCTTATTTAAGGGGTCTCTAAGGTCTTGGGCCAAATTATCATGAGCCCAAGGGTTCATTATATCAAGTTCTTGCCGCTCGTCTGGCCTGACTACTCATTGCTGCATTTTTCCCCTTCTGCGTAAAAAAGCTGGGATGCTCAAGTCATCAAGAGCTTAGAGTTTAGTGTCATTTCTGGTCTTGGTGCTTTGGGGTTTGGAGATCCCTGAAAGGGCTAAAAGGGGAATCAAGCCTACCTAATTCCCCAGATTCCGCCGTAATTCCGCACCCACTCATGGACCTCCAAGCGCTTCAGCCTGTTGTCTCTGTGGCTGGGACTTGGCCTCGAAACAAAGACGACCCGGCGACCCGAACGCCTAATGCTGCGGGCGTCGTGAACCCAGAGTGCCTAATCAATACCCCTTTACTAAGGAATGTACCTTGAAAAAAAAAGGGGGGGGTCCTTAATTTAATTTAAGGTATATCCCTGACTTAGGGGGTAGTGGGCTCTTTGGGAAAGGATATAAGACTCGAGAAACCCATTGCTTTGTTTTCTCACTGAAAAGAGGCTGAGGTTCCGCTTTTGTAGGCCTGGAGCGGCTCCTTTTGAATGGACCGCCGCCCACGGAATCCTCAACTCCCCCAAATCCCGAAACTCTCCCCGGACCCCCCACATCTGGACCCTCGGGTTTAGGGTTTAGGGTTTAGGGTTTAGGGTGCAATACCTCAACAGCAAGAGCCCCAATCCTTCGCGGCAGCCGCAAAGAAGCCCTCGAGCAGGGAACCCACAGAGCCCAGTGACCCTTGGCTAAGGAACATCGCATTAAAGTTGTCAAATGGATGTGTATATATATATATATATAGATATCATATATACATAATGTTGCACCCTGTTTAGTGTGGGCCCCCCCCCCCCCCCTGAACAGTTGAGGCGTGGATGGGATCTTGATTACACGGCCCCGGGGGCTCATATGATTTCAATAGGGAGGAGTTTAGATAGGTTCAAAAGGGGCAGCGACAGCGATGCCCGGTTATCTTTTTTAAAGGCGCGCCGCGTGGAATTTTCTTACGGCGCCCGGACGATTTGTCTTTAAAGAGGGACTCCCAAAAAGTCAGCATGTCCTGAATAATTCGGCCAGTTTGTCTTTAAAGAGGGGGCCAATACTAAACAGGGTGCAACATTACACATATATATATATATACATATATATTGATTTCTATTTATTTATTTATTTAATATACATATACATATGTATATATATATATATATAATTTGGGCTCTCTAGGAGGAAGCAGCCAAGGTGCCAGGAGTGCCAAGGCCATCTGCCAATGGCCGCTGTGCGCACAGGCACCTCATCAGTTCATTTGCTCGCTTCTGACAATTAGGGTTTAGGGTTTAGGGGAAGTACGGGGATTTGAAGTACCCCAAAACAGAACCCTGTCCCTAAGGATCCATGCACCTACATGGTATAGACTTGGGCCTTAAAGGGGTTCCTATATAGTAGCCTTACTTTCAAGCTCTTTTGACATAGTAAGCCTACTTAGTAGTCTCCCCTAGAAACCCTCTTATAGTCCCCATAACCCACCTTAATAACCCTGCTTACTAAGTCAACAGGGCTTCCAAGTAGGGTTTTGGGGAACGGGCCATCTGCAGACTGTACTTGGAAGCTCATGGTACTTATTAACCCAATTATGACTGCACTTAGAACCTCTTATAAGCTTCTTAAGTGTCCTAATTAATATGGTTATAAGTACAGTCATAAGTGCAGTCACAACCGGTTAATAAGCACCATAAACCTCCAAGTAGAGCAGGTCTTAGGGGCACAATTTGGGTTATCAGGCTTGCGGGGGCATCTCCTGGGCACCAATGGCTACTGCAACTTGGACAGGGAGGGGTTTGTTTGGGGTTTAGGGTTTAGGGTTTGGGGTTTGGGGTTTGGGGTTTAGGGTTTAGGGTTTTGGGTTTAGGTCACAGCAGCTGAGCGGCTGATCGCCGAGTTGAAAGATATCAATGACGCCTTGTCTGAACAAGGGGGAGGTGGCCAATTTGTCTTGTCTTCAGGATGCGTCTCTTGGTGGCCCAGAGACCATATTCTAATGAGGGTACCCTTTTTGGGGCTGGTTGCTTTGAAAGGGAGCCTTGAACCAAAAGAAGGAAAAGGGCACCACTGCGCTACGAAGGTCTGGTGGACAGATCAGCTGCAAGTGCTGAACTCAGCCGAACGCGGCAGAATACTGAGCGCTCTCTGGCTCGTTCCCTCTTTTCCAACAGGCCACACCCGCACTCGTTAAAGGACCCTCAACAAAGGGTACTCTATTTCGGGGTGCCCCCATAGCAACCATGGTTCGCCTCGAGATTCTGTCTGCGTGCAATTGAGATTCTCGCACACCGTGGCCCGCCATCTCCAGCAAAATGTGCAGGGCCCATTGCCAGCAGCTACCTGCCACCACCCACACACCAACCCCCCCATCTACGGGACTGCACGTCTCGGTCGACTGCGCAGACACCTGCGTTCAGACTCTTGAGGAGAGGCAGGGTTCCCCTCAAGATCATCTACAAGACCCTGGAGTAGCCTAGGAACAACAAGGGTACCTTTTTTGGGTTTTAAGGGGATAACAAGGGAACCCCAACCCTCAAAAAAGGAAAAAAGGGCCTACTCCCGGTCCTAGTCTATCGGATATGTCCAGCAGCCTGGCCTGAGGTTGTCTTAAACGGTTGCCCTAAACCCTAAACCCCTAAACCCTAAAACCCTAAACCCCTGGAAGCCCCTGCCTTTCTCACAGGCGCTGATTGCGGCGTTGAAGACGATGTCGCTCAACTGCACCTCGCATGATGCGGCTTGAATTTTTTGTTTCTCAGGTTAACGGCCTGGAATTGTTTTCAGAACTCCGTCTATGATCACAGTTGCTGGCGAAGCGGTGCTGCAAGAACAGTCGAGTTCCTCGAGTCTGAGTTCTAAGGGACCCAAGTACTTAAACAGCTTTGCAGCATTTGCAGTCTTGCTGTGCAAGTTTTTGTCCTTGCTCGCAAAAAAAACATAGGCATGGCCAGTGTCAAGGCATCTTGTGAGGCCTCCAACATGTCCAAAGGGCCACGAAGTCTTAATAACCCAATAACCATACTCTTATATGCGCCAGCATAGGCGCCCCCCCCCCCCCCCCTCCCCCCCCATGGTATCCCCCCCCCCCCCCCCCGTGGTTCATGGTGGGTTTTGGGGTCCCCTCCCCCCCCCCCTGTGGTTCATGGTCCGTGGTTCATGGGTTTGTGGTTTAGGGAATTAGGCTGTAAATTCAGGATTTTCGGGAGGGGGGGATACCATTGGGGGGGGGGGGGGGGGGTTGATTACGCGCAACGCGGGCGCATATAAGGGCGCCCTTTTGGGTTTGGTTACTTTATAAGGAAACCTTGAACCCAAACAAAAAACACCACTGGGCTACCAAGAATTTGATTCAACCTCAGCCGGGAGCCCTGCCTGGCCAGGCTCAAGAATGCCCGCTAAAATATGTGTTCATCCTGCCCAAAGAGCCCAATGAACCTTAATGGAAGGAATGTACCTCTTTGCTCTTTTGTTTTTTTTCATATCGGGATCCGGTATCTTCCTTACGAAGGGGTATTGGGCTCTCTGGGTATGCTACTCGAAGGATCCATGCACCTATGTGGTATATACTTGGGCCTTATTAGGGGTTCCTGTACGGTAGCTATAGGGCCCAAGTATATGTACATGTACATGGATCCTTAGGGTAAGAGTCCTAGTATTTTCTCTGGACTTAGGTTCCGTTTGGTCCCCAAGGTTTGGGTATGTTATTGCAATAGGAACCCCTATACCCTAAACCCTACTTGCTGAAGCGGCATAAAGGGCTCTTTGGCTATGTTGCTCTTTGTAGCCCGGTAGCCATGTCATAATAAGAGCACCCATGTTGGCTTGGTTACTGTATAGGGCCCACAAGGAAAAAAAACGAGGGAAAGGATACCACTGGGCTAACAAGGTTAACCCTAACCCCTAAACACAAACCCTAAACCCCAAACCCAAAACCCTAAACCTTCTTGGGGTTTAGGGCTACTAAAGTAAGTGAACACCCACGCCCCCGCCTTCTGGAGCCCCTCCTTCAACAGGTGAAGGGCCAACTGCCATCGCCCGCCGGCCTCCGGAAACGGTCTCGGGCTTAGAGTTTAGGGTTTAGGGTTAGTTATAGACTGAACTCTATATATATACACACATATAGTGTATATACTATGTCATATCAACATACTATACACTAGATAGTACATCATACAGTCATGTAGACCCTTCGGTAGGACATCTTGCAGTTGATGTCCCTCGATTGCTTGGCAGAGAAATCTACCGCAAATGGCCGGATCGCACCTCGCACGCTGTGACGGCAGCACCGTAAGAGACAACATCTGGCACAAGTCCTTCGACAGCGGCGTGGCCCCTATGCAATTGAAGGCATAGTCCTAAAAAACACAGGGTTTAGGGTTTAGGGTTTAGGTTTAGGGTTTAGGGTTTAGGGTTTGGGGTTTGGGGTTTAGGGTTTAGGGTTGGGGGTACTGGGCCTTCTGGGAAAGTCTTGGTGCAGCAGCATGTCCATCTTCGGGTTCTTTGCATCCAAGCAACTTAGATGATGCGAGATGTCAGACTAGCGATAGGACAAGCCTCATATTGAATCGTCATGAATATATATATATGTATATATATATATACGTATACACACATACATATACGTATACGTATACGTATACATACACATACACGTACACGTATACATACACATACACATACACATACACATATACATACAGAATATATATATATATATATATATATATATGTACCATGTACGCATACTAGACTTGACAAACTGATAAGTAAACAAATATATACATAAGCTGTGTCTGACCGCTCTGAATTCCAGCGGCTTTCAAAACTGCGCATCCCAAATCGGTGAACTTCTGCACTGTCCTGCACGGCTGGCGAGTAGCGCCAGGGATGCCTGCGGAAAGAAGCGTTCCACGGCCGATTTCAGAGGGAGGCGGCGAAACTTGGGCTTGTGGCTTTCCTGAACCCCCATCCGTAACGGTTCGGGTACAGATTGTGGTAACCTCTGTGAAATGAGAGGGCAAGACCGGAAACCCTGAACACGAGTAGAAAACTGAAGTTGGCTTCAGTCGTTCATGTCCCAGGCCGACAACTCTTCCTTGAAACCTATTTGGGACGACCTGCACTCTGGAAGTAGTCCTCAGGATCTGCCAAGAATGTGGCCAAGAGCTGGATGTTCGTCTGGGGCTTCGTGTTTAGGAAGTCCAAAACAAAGTCTCAAAACCCCACAGCCTCCGCAACCATGCCCTCAGCAAGGACATCATCTTTCCGTAGCTTGCAAGAGCACAGCCCTAAACCCTAAAGCCCTAAACCCGAAAATCGGAGTCCGTGATCCAGGGTCCATGCCTCCCAACGGCGCCCCCGGGCGGCCGCCGAGGCAGCGGCGTTGGTGGTGAGGCTGTCCGGGCGGAGGGCCTGGAAGGGTTTAGGGTTTAGGGTTTAGGGTTTAGGGTTTAGGGTTTAGGGTTTAGGGTTTAGGGTTTTGGGCTCAAGGTTTCTGCAAGCACTCTCTGCAACCAGCTAAGCAGCCCCCACCGGTCCGGGACTTAGGGTTTGAGTTTAGGGCTTAGGGTTTGAGTTTCTCGGGGGTTTGAGCTTCATTTTCAGTCTTACCCACAAAACCATAAAGGATGGCAATCCCCACATTACCGTGACAAGGAAGAACTCTTTTCTTATATATATTTTTTTTTTGTATTTATATTTTTCTTATTTTTTTTTTGCGGGGGGGGGGGGGGGGGGGGGGTTGAGGGGGTTCTTCAGCAATTAGTACGTCTTGGACACCAGCGCAGGCCCACCTGCTGTCCATGTTGGGCTTAGGGTTGAGGGGCTTCAAGGGGGGGTAGAGAGTTTGGGGGCTCCCTAAACCCTAAACTCCCTTTTTTTAACACGGACCTCTGAAGCCTGTCCGGAGTCCCCTCAAACCCACCACCCACTGAGGCCCGCACCGCAGAACGCCCGTGCTTCACACAAAGCGCTCAAGCTCAGAGTATGTATCTTTCCCTAAACTCCCTAAACCCTAAATCAGGGTATGCAGAGGGTTTCAGGTCAGGTTTCGTGGCTATCTAGGTCCCTGGGATGTGTCTCTACATCGTCGCGAAGGCCGAAGTTGAGAAGGATGTGGATGTTCTCAGGCAAATAGTAGAGGAGATGAGGAGGGATCATCTGAGGGGTTTTAGGTCTGAGAAGTTTAGGCTCAGGTCTTATGTAGGGGTTTAGGGTTGAAGGTTTGGGGGTTTAGGAGGTTTAGGGTGTAGGGTTGCTAGGCACAGCGGGAGCCGTCGGCCGCTCTTTCCACACAACAAGCGCTCTCACCCTAAACCCTAAACCCTAAACCCTAAACTCTAAACCCTAAACCCTAAACCCTAAACCCTAACATGCCTGGGAGGGCATGCTGCTGAGGAGGTCCAGCGCCAGCTCCCAAGCTCCTTCCGTTTGGGATTATAGGGTGTCTAGGCTTTAGGGTTCCTAGGGTTTCTAGGGTTTTAGGGTTCTTAGTAGAAGTTCTTAGGGTTGTTAGGGTTGTTAGGGTTGTTAGGGTTTAGGGTTTAGGGCTGAAGGACGTTGAGGGTTTATAGAGTTGCTACTGTTTCTACGGGTTAGAGTTTCTAGCATTTCTAGGGCTTCTGGGGTTTGTGGGGGTGAGAGGGTTTCCAGGGTTTCTATTTTCTATATGAGCAGCCGCAAAAAATCTTATGTAAATGCTAATTAAAAAATCGTGGGGTATCGCTTTTGGGGGGGGGGCCTTATCGCTTGATGGGACTTTGGCTCAATGCTACTACGAAAACCTATCGCTTTACTGCTTATGAGATAAAAAACCTGGAACCCTCCCCTAAGTACACCTGAAATCCTAAACCCGTTTCCTTTCTTTATAGACTAAAGAGTGAGAGTGCTCCTTTTCTAGGAACTTGAGCCCCCGCTGCTCCAATCAGAAATCCAAATCCTAAACTTCGAACCCTCAACCTGGGCCAGGGCCTTTGCCCAGCTCTTCGGGTGGCAAAATGGGTATCGTAGGGGTATCGCTTTGAGTATCACTCTGGAATAAGACCCAACCACGAAATCATGACATTTCTGCAGAACGACTACTAGATTCAAGATTGAGGGTATCGCTTTTGGGGGGGGGGCCTATCGCTTTCCGAGGTTTTAGGCATGAACGTGGATTTTTATCTCCGCCACAAGAAACCTCCTGCAACGCAATAAAAGTGGTCGCTCATATGGTTTCTAGGGTTTATACGATTTCTACAGTTTGTGGGGTTTATAGGGTTTCTAGGGTGAACTCCAGCCTTTGTCCACAACTGAACAAAACAGCCGGCCACCAGCTTGCTGTTGGTTAGTAGGGAATGAGGGAAAGAGGTACCCTAGAAAATCCTTTAAAGGGTACACATAGGGGGATATAGGGTACCTGAATGAGGTACCTCATAGTATCCTGTAAAGGGTATATATAGGGGGATACAGGGGGATATTGGGTGCCTCATTCCCTCATTCCCTACTACCCAACAGTAAGCCAGCCCGCCGCGCGCGCCTCCTTTCTCGCAAGCGCTCAGCGCGGCGTTGTAGGTCACAACCTCCCCCGGCATGCCAGGAACATGGCCAAAGGGTTTAAGGTTTAGGGTTTAGGGTTTAGCGTTTAGGGTTTAGGGGGACTTGAGCATGGCCAACGGGGGACGTGGTGGGACTTGCCAACCTCGTGGCTGGACTTAGGAACTGAGGAACCCCCCAACCTACTTTATCCTAGACAGGGGTCTTGCGGCAAGGCCTACGGAACAAAGTAGGTTCGGGCTTTCTTAAGTCACCGCCTTCCGGGGGGTTCAGGGCCGACGCAAAGAGAATACCTGTTCAAAAGTCTACTGGTTTAGCAGCTTCTTGGCCTGACCTTCTAGGATGTTATACCCTACCCGGGATGACTTTTGTGGAATAAGGCCTGCAAGGGGGTGAAAAGGGGATCATCTTCCCGCAATTCATCATTCAGGCTCCGGTTTTGCAGCTCCCAAGCCCTTTGTAAACGCTGCATCCCATGCTACCCACAGAGCCCAATACCTCCTAGTGAGGGAATCGACCGTAAATCACACATACTACCTCCAAGTACTAACCCTGTACCCTAAACCCTAAACCCTAAACCCTGGATAATCAGATTCAATAAGCACCATGAACCTCCAAGTATTGGGCCCTCTGGCTAGCGCAACTAAGGTCGAGACATTGACTTCCAGCTGTTGCTGGGCCTCGGCTGGCTGATGTTCAAGGGGGGGGGGGGGGTCAGGGTTTGGGGTTATTAGGGTTTAGGGTTTAGGGTTTAGGGATTAGGGTTGAGGGTTCAGGGTTGTCTGTTGCGGGCTGAGGGGCTCCTTAATCCTAAGCTTTGTTTTCTGGGGGGTCCTGGGGTCTCAACGGCTCAAGGCGAAGGGTTTCGGCGAAGGGGGGGTGTACGGCTCAAGGCGAAGGGTTTCGGCGAAGGGGTGGTTTACCTAGAGCTACCGAAACTACAAAACCCAGACCTACTTTTATGCAGGCTCTGGTTATCAAACCCCTTACAGGGTTCTCGAGGTATACGACTTACGGCTTAAAAAAGCGTTGATCTGCTTCGAAGATAGAAATCACAAGCCGGAGATTCAGTCAACACATTGGTTTCAGGCTTGGGGTCATGGCTTGTCTGTTCCATAGGGCGGGGGGGGGGGAAGTTGCGGGCAAGGGCCGGTAAACCACCGTGGGCCTTGCAATGGAGTTCAGGAGGGCTCATCGGATTCAAGGTGCCTTGTGAAGACGGAACCTTCCCCCCGGCCCCGCCGCCCCTCCCCCCCCCTCCCCCCCGCCACGACCAAATCCCTAAGCTATAGCCAACTCCTCCACTAGCATCGCTTCGGAAGGCCCCCGAGAACAAAAAATATTCTGCCTTATAAGAGTCGTATAGGGATTATAACCCTCAACCCTAAACCCTAAACCCTAAACCCTAAACCCTAAACCCTAAACCCTAAACCCTAAGCCTTTTTTGGGTGTTCATAAGCAAATAGTCGTCCAGTCGAGATGCTGCAGTGCCGAGAAGATGCAGAGCCCACTGCCATTGTCCCATCTTCTCACACGCTGAGATGGCCTGACTGAGAAAACCAAGGGTAAGGTTTTAGGGTTTAGGGTTTAGGGTTTAGGGTTTAGGGCTTAGCAATCCCTAAGGCGCCATGTACCGATCTAGTATATACTTGGGCCTTCTTCTGGGTTCCTATGTGGCACCTTTGGGGCGCAAGTTTTTTCTATATACAGTAAACCCCCAAATTTTTTTCAAACCTTTTTAAGGACAAATAGTGCTGGGATTCCCTATTCTTGTCTCTTAGGGATTGAAGCTACTGAGTTTCCAGCTTTTCGGCTTCCATTATGGGTACATGGCTCCTTAGGGAATCGACGAGGCTCGAAGCAACGATGCTTTGCAATTATTGCCTTCTCTGGTGTGGGTGCACAGTAAGATCCCTGTGACGGCCAAGAAGCGGCATTGAATGCAATCAAGTCCACATGTGTCGGATCTTCCTGGCAAAAAAAAGTCGGCCTTCTCAAAGCAACCGTCGCAAAAGATCTTGCGGCTTCATACAAGCTCTGCCCAAAGGCTCCAATGTAGTTCCTTTTTGGGTTAGTTATAAGGGGGTTCTAGTATACTACCCCAAAAAGGTACTGCATAGGAGCCTTTGGGTATCAACAGAGGGGCTCGGGCCGTGCAACACCGGGCAAAGAGGATCGGGCTGCAGCTCGCCTACCTCGATGTTGGAGCCGTGGACTCAGTGAGCTAGCAGAACACCTCAAGACCCTAAACCCTAAACCCTAAACCCCAAACCCTAAACCCTAAACCCTAGAATAACGAGTACATGGTGGCACGAGGCTTGCTTGGCCTGGAGCTTGGGGAGCAGATGGGCAGTTGCGCCCCGTCGTGCATGAACTTAGTAGCCCGGTAACCATCTTTTAAAAGATGGAAAAAGTTTGTTGGTTGGTTCCGTTGAAAAGGGAGCTCAGAACCAAAAAAGGGTAAAGGGTATCAACCCTAAACCCGACACCTTAGTGTAAGGAATCCTACTTTTGGGGCTTTTTTTTGCTAGGGGGCCCCTTCTTGTCGCAAACCCCAGAATGTCTCCTGGCACAGACGGTGTAGTCGGTCTAAGGCCACCTCCCACCTGTGCAGGGGATTCAAAATCCTCTTCAAAGGCCTAGAGGAGGGACCTGTATAAGGGACCTTACTTGCAAGCTCTTTTGACTTCGTAAGTCGACTTACTATCCCCTAGAAACCCTCTTATACTCCCCATAACCCAGCTTACTAACCCTACTTTCTAAGTCAAAAAGGCTGGCAAGTAGGGGCTAATTTAGGGGCCACTAAAGGTCCCTTCTCGGTCTCCCTCCTTGTACCCCTTAATCTGTGTCTCAGCCGACCCTAAGGACACCTGTAATAGCTCTATACTTGGGCCTTAAAGATACCATAGAGGAAGCCCCTGATAGGGCCCAAGTATGTACTACATGGGTACCATGGATCTTTAGGGCGAATGTGCAGGTAGAGCGGATGGAAGACACCTCACAAACGCTGACTTCTTTTGCCAAGCTCGACAAGTTCCGTCCCGAACATCTGCAACCAAGTGATGTCCCAACAACAAGTGCAAACCACGTAGACCTTAAGGCCTTACTTGAAGGTTCATGGTACTTACTAACCAATTATAACTGTACTTATAACCCTACTTATAATACCCCTAAAGGGCCTCATAGGGGTTATCCCAATTATAAGTAGGGCTATAAGTACAGTTATAATTGGTTAGTAAGTACCATGAACCTTCAAGTACGTGAGGCCCATAAGAACTCATGGGGCGGCCGCAGGGCAGTTGGAGCCGCCTGCTGCCGATCCCAACATCGGCGTTCCCCTAAACCCTGGTCTGCCAAACTCTCCATTTCCCGGGACACCCTAAACCCTAAACCCTAAACCCTAAACCCTAAACCCTAAACCCTAAACCCTAAACCCTAAACCCTAAACCCTAAACCCTATCCCCACGGAAAAACTTGAGAAATGCCGAAAAGTGGGCCTCCTCCTCAACACAAAAGGCCCTCAAGTCCGCCAACCCTACACCACGAAACAAGCCCTTTAACCCTAAGGCTTAAGGATCCACTTAAATAGAGAAATGACAAGATAAATAAATAAATAAATAACAAAATAAATAAATAAATAACTAAATAAATAAATAAATATATATATATATGTATATATAGGGTTTAGGGTTTACGGTTTTGGGTCTAATACATACATACATACATACATACATACATACATACATACATACATACATACATATATATATATACCTGAAGTGCGTTCCTGTATTTATATAGTGGCCAAGTTTGTTTCCGACCTAGGTGCATGGACCCTTTGGGTGAAGCCTCTGACCCCGCTAAAGCGGCAAATCCAGACTACTGGTTTAGGGTTTCGGGTTTACCGGCCTTCGGCCCTTCTCACACGCACTCAGCGCAGTGCTTGCGAGAATGGTGTCTTCCGTGGCCTGTGCACCACTGGCTATGCTACACTAAACCCTAAACCCTACCTAAACCCTAAGCCCTAAACCCTATGCCTTTAAACAGGAGGGTTGCGTAGGGGAGTAGAGGGCCTGATGCAATTGAGGCTTGCCAGGGCAAGCATTGTTCCTCAGCAGAACCGTATACATGAAAACGGGTGACCATTGAGGCACCTGTACCTCGCTTATCAGGCCTACAGTTCATAGGGCTCGGCCACAGATTGAAACTTTCCACCCCAGGTGGGGGGGGGGGGGTGCTGTGCTCTGGACACGAAACATCTACAAGATCAAAACTCCTGAGACATACCCAGGCGGGTGCTTTTGACTGGCGTTCAGTGCTTGTTTTCGAGTTGCACGGGTAACCAGGCAGCCAATCCTTCTCAGACGCTGTCCAGTAGGTTGCAGCTTTCGAGGGGTTCGAGTTGCAACAGCTTACGCAGTTCTTCGGCAAAGAATTCTGCGCTGATTCCCCTTCGCTTACAAAGGACAGCAGCTTTCCATCACTGGATACACACCCTAAACCCTAGACCCTAAACCCTAAACCCTAACCCTAAACCCCCCAAGAGCCTCCCAGGCTGCCACGCACACCAGTTGCAGCGCCGGTTGCCATTGCTGCCCCTTCTCCTCAGGGCTCTGAAAAAGGCTGCAGGGCGTTACTGTACTAGCCCACGGTTTAGGGTTTAAGGTTTAGGGTTTAGGGTTTAGGGGCCCTGTAACCCTTAAACCTTGTGATGTTGCCCCTTATACTAGCAGTCCTTCATAGGGATAATAGTACGCCCTATGATTTAACCCTGTTTGCATCCAGGCTTGGGTGAGCGTGACGCGAAAGACCTCATGCTGCCCAGGTCCATTGCAAACCCGTCGCAGACAAGCACACCAAGTGAAGTAGACCGAAGCACACGTGCGCGTAGTTCTGCTGACTATGCCTATGATATAACCCTAAACCCTGTAACTTTATAACCCAAAAACCCTACACAGCTTAACCCTATAACTCTATAACCCTATAATAACCCCATAACCCTATAATAGGCCCTATAACCATATAACCCTAGAACCCTATAACCCTAACCTTAGACCCTATAACATTGAAAAAAAAAACCGATTAAGCATTCAGAATGGATCCTGGGACTGGGACGAAGAGCGACCAAAGCTGTAAGCCTGCCTCCTGTTAGGGTTTAGGGTTTAGGGTTTAGGGTTTAGGGTTTAGGGTTTAGGGTTTAGGGTTTAGGGTTTAGGGTTTAGGGTTTAGGGTTTAGGGTTTAGGGTTTAGGGTTTAGGGCAACTTGTGGCACAGTCTCTTCACGTGAGATCTGAAACCTTCCCGAAATCGAGAAGCCGTGTACAGGTACATAAATATTACATATGAGTTTCAATAACTGAGCACATGAATACATTAAATAAATAAATAAATATATATATATATATGTATATATATATATATATGTATGTGTGTATGTGCATATATAATCTAGTGGTTGAGGGGTCATTTCCCGGTTTTAAGGTATAGAGGCTACGAAGTGCCTAAACCCCTGAGGCCCTAAACCCTACACCCTAACCCTAAACCCTAAACCCAAAACCCTAAGCCCTTCCTGCAATTGCCGCGAAGTGTCACAGGAGCTCGTAGCAGAGCCGTAGGCCGCTATTTCAGACTGCAGCGATAGGAGCCTGCTCCACTGCAGAAACCCTAAACCCTAAATCCTAAACCCTATAAACCTATAAACCCTAAACCCTAAACCCTAAACCCTAAACCCTAAACCCTAAACCCTAAACCCTAAACCCTAAACCCTAAACCCTAAACCCTAAACCCAAACCCTAGACCGTAAACCCTAAACCCTAACAAAGGCTGGAAAGGCTGAAGCTGGTAGACCTACCAATGCACCAAGCAGAATCCAAGACGCCTTGTGTCTAAACTCGTGCACTCCTACACCTTCTCAAGTTAACCCCGGTAGCGAAAGGCACCACTTCCTATTACAGCGACAGGCGCTTTTGGAGGAACAAAAGTTAAACATCGAGAAAAAAACACTCGCCATAATCATGCCCCCCCCCCTCTCTCTATATAATATGTGAGTGTGTATACATATATATGTATACAGAAAGGTATGGGGGTTTCCGAAAATAAGGGGTACCTTCTTGATTTCTTATGAGGATTATAAGGGGATCCTGCAACAAGTACTTAGGGGTCCCCGAATTTCGGAAGCACCCGTAGATGCAATACGCTATTCTTGGACGATTAGCAACCTCCTTTTTTTTTTTTTTTGGGGGGGGGGGGTTAGGGTTTAGGGTTAAGGGTTTGGGGTTTGGGGTGCCTCACTTCCTGATTCTCCCCACAGAATAAGGTGCCCGCAACAGAAGGGCTAGGGCACAAGCCTCCAGGCAATCGTTTGGGCAACTCCTTTGAAATATAAGATTTACGATTTGCGTAAGAATCCCCCCAAAAGAAACCAAAAGATGGGAATCCCTGCATATTGCCCTTGTAAGGAAGAACAGATAGTAACCCCTGTATTGCCCTTCTAGGGAAGGATACTAGTAGCAAGTCGACTTAGAATTGGTTTTAATCCTGGGTCCTGATCTGTTCGTTTTCTTTTCTTTCTTTTTTTTTGTTTGGGGGGGGGGGGGGGAGGGTTCTTAAGCAAAATAGTCGGGAGTTGAGAAGATCGCGCCTCAAGTTTCCGAGCAAGGACACCCCCAGGTTCCAGTCGCCACTCTTCGCCTTCGGTTTCTGAAGGTCGGTGGGTTGGACTCAGGGGTTCGGGCGTTTGGGGATCGGGACCCTAAACCCTGAACCCTGAACCCTGAACCCTGAACCCTGAACCCTGAACCCTAAACCCTAAACCCTAAACCCTAAACCCTAAACCCTAAACCCTAAACCCTAAACCCTAAACCCTAAACCCTAAACCCTAAACCCTAAACCCTAAACCCTAGCCCTAGAGGGTTTTGGGTTTGGGGGGGGGGGGGGGGGTAGAACCATAGGAGGGTGCTAGCTTGGCATCCCCGGCAAAGCCAAGCCCAACTACAGAGCAACCTTCCTTGAGCATCAAGTGAACCCTACTTGGAGGTTCATGGTACTTACTAACCAATTATAACTGTACCTACAGCCCTACTTATAATGCCCCTAAAGGGCCTTATAGGGGTTTTCCCAATTAAGAGTAGGGCTATAAGCCCAGTTATAATTGGTTAGTAAGTACCATGAACCTTCAAGTAAAGTTGGCGTCATATGTGGGTTTCCATTGGGGGTACCTTATTGGGGTCCTTACTGTCCTATTTTCGTAAACTCCCATACCCTGCACTATTGCAAGCCCTTTTGAAGTTGTATGAACCATAAACCCTTTTAGGGTTCATGTGGGTCGTTCTCTAAATCAGGGTTCCCTTTTGGGATCTCTTTTTAAAGGGGGCCGCCTTACAATGGGGTACTCAAAAAGGGACCCTAATTTAGGAAACTACCCATGTGGTCCCCAAGGTTTAGACGCTGAACGAAATGGTGGGTATACACTAATTGCTGCCTTCAACCATGTCTGGATGCTTTGTTTTATGTAAGGGATATTCCTTAAGAGAGGGGTTAGGGGTTGAGTTTAGGTTTAGGGGTTTACCCTTTTGCCCGAATCCTTCAAGCTCTGAACCACGACAGGTTTCGGAAGCCTGCAGTAACATGACCTCTATATAGGGTTGTTTCGCTAAACCCTAAACCCTAAACCCTAAACCCTAAACCCCTAAACCCCTAAACCCTAAACCCTAAACCCTAAGCCCGAAACCCTAAACCCCTAAACCCTAAGCCCTAAGCCCTAAACCCTACCCTTGGGCTACATGAACCCCCCTCCCTTGGGAACCCTAAAAGCTTAGTGTGAGCAGCCCACGAAGGCAGCTTCTTGGAGGTTCCTGGTACTTATTAACACTTTATAACTGGACTTAGAAGGGTTTAGGGTTTAGGGTTCAGGGTTCAGGGTTTAGGATAACTGTGCTTATAACTGTACTTATAAGCCATATTATGGGCACTTGAGGGACTCACAAGTGGGGTATAAGTACAGTAATAACTGAACCCTAAACCCTAAACCCTATAATCCCTATAAACCCTATAATCCCTATAAACCCTATAAACGCTATAAACCCCATAAACCCCATAAACCCCATAAACCCTATAAACCCTATAAACCCTATAAACCCTATAAACCCTACAAACCCTATAAACCCTATAAACCCTATAAACCCTATAAACCCTATAAACCCTATAAACCCTATAAACCCTATAAACCCTATAAACCCTATGAACCCTATAAGCCCTATAAGCCCTATAAACCCTATAAACCCTATAAACCCTAAGCCCTAAACCCTAAACGTACCATGACCTCCAAGCACCTCGTGGAGTCAAGGGGCCGCCGCGCTGAGAGCAGCGTTGCTGCAAACGGCGCTGGCTTCCAGGCCTTGCTGGCGCCTGCTTAGGGTTTAGGGTTTAGGGTTTAGGGTTTAGGGTTTAGGGTTTAGGGTTTAGGGTTTAGGGTTTAGGGTTTAGGGTTTAGGGTTTAGGGTCTAGGGTCTAGGGGTTAGGGGTTAGGGGTTAGGGGTTAGGGGTTAGGGTCTAGGGTTTAGGGATGTTCCCCCCTTGTACTATCACACCTTAGTAGGGATTCTACTACCCCTATCATAATCCCTATTCAGGAGCTGTTAGTACAAGGGGGAACATCCCAAGGTCTATAGGGTAAAGTTTAGGGGGGCCCTGTTGACGGAGTACACGGTACAACCAATACATCCTGACTTTTTTGGGGTCAAAGTACTGGACACCTTGAACCCTCAAACCCCAAATATACCCCCACAAAAACAGATGACGCACACATTTTGAAAACGACAAAGCTTAAGGACCGAATGAACCCTAAATGGGGCTCGATGGTTCATATACCTTAATAGGGATTGCAGTAGCACCTTACTAGTAACCCCAATCTTGGGGTTCATATTTGGTCCCTTAAGGAATGAACTCTTCCTGTTCAGGAAGCCGAGTTCAGGGGTCGGGCTGCCAAAATCCGACCCCCGAGCTTGTCAAGCGGGGCTTGGGGAAGTGGGTATACTAATAGTCCTTGATAGGGATGATAGTTCTCGCTATTATAATGCCTATTAAGGACTGTTAGTATAAGCGGGATACATGGGGCATGTACCTGAGATGAGTCATTGGGTATTTGTTGTTGTCTTCAAAGAAAGAGTGTGTGATGTGATCAGTGATATGCATGAACAAAGTTCGGCCTTTTCTCGCCTCAGTTGCATAATCGGCTTTTCACACCTGATTCGTGCTTGCACCACAATCGTACGAACAAAGAAAAATAGTCGTCCGCCTGGACATGAAGGTGCAATGAACGAGTTGGGCACACGAAGCGTCGCGAATCCATGATTGCCAAGAGACGCAACTGAAAAAAACAAACAAACAATAACTCAGGATGATCATGATAATCATTAAGATTTCTGGGGTTGTGTTGTATGTCGAATAATAGCCAGATGAAAACGTAGCGGGGTTGGTTCTTCAGGCAGTTTGAACCAGTAAACCCTAAACCCTAAACCCTAAACCCTAAACCCTAAACCCTAAACCCTAAACCCTAAACCCTAATCTGCGACCGACTTCAGGACTGAACCGACTTTGGGGGATAAAGCATCTCAGCAGCTTAAACTTAGCTGCTGAGGTTTAGGGTTTAGGGTTTAGGGTTTAGGGTTTAGGGTTTAGGGTGTAGGGTGTAGGGTGTAGGGTTTAGCGTTTAATAAGCTCCCAAAAAGAGTGTACACTTCCAGTTCTACAGGGACTATGGTCTCCCAAAAAGTGTAAAGTGTACTCACTCAGCTACCGAGTAGAGGATCTCTGCAGCTTGAAAAACTGTAGCCAAAGGCTCATGTGTAGTACCTTTTTGGGGTAGTATACGAACTAGAACCCCTTCGGAAACTAACATAAACCGAACTACACTGGAGCCTTCCGGTACACCTTCCAACAACTGCTGTCACCCTAAACCCTAAACCCTAAACCCTAAACCCTAAACCCTAAACCCTAAACTCCGATAACCAGCTGCGGCCGACATGCATGTCGACCACTGCCGACAGTGCATGCTTCCATTTCAGGCCCAAATCCTGGGTGCACCCTACCAGGGTTTAGGGTTTAGGGTTTAGGGTTTAGGGTTTAGGGTTTAGGGTTTAGGGTGTGAAACCTTGTGCTACCTTGCAAATCTGTACATCTACCCAAAAAGTAATAGACTGTTCCATTACAGGTTATTCAAGGTAGACCTGTCAGAGCAACTGATACCAAAGAAGAAGGGAAACGCGCTGTGATTATGGGTACTGCACATGTTCCTTCTGAAACGGAAGCTCTGCTACTTTAGGAAATCGGTTGAAAGAACTGCAGCATGTCTGTAGGTTTGAAGTTGTACAGTGAACCTTTGCAGTTTTACAGGGTTCTTAAGGGAGGGGGGTTCAAGGGAGGTACGTAACCCGAGGTTCCCTAAGACTCCCCACTACTCACTAAAGCTCCATAAGCTTCCCTAAGGTTCCCTAGGTACCTACCCCCCGTGTAGTGATCAAATGGAAAGCAGCGAGAAAACGCGCAGAACCATGACTGCATGTCTATGTGTTCTAGCTTACGCAGTGTAAAGAAACTAGAGATTTCTGGTTCGGTTGTTTATAGCTGTTTCTATTGTAGTACGTCTGTGTGCCTCAACCATAAAAGATGCGTGAGCCTCAGTGTGTCCAACTTATCCGGAGAATGCGGGTTTGGTATGTGGAATGAGCATTGGGGACAGCCCTATCACAGTGCAATTTGAACTACACCCTTCCAATGGCGTTGTGGAAGAAATGTCGAGACGCTACAGAAGCCATGAAGGTAATAACCCAGCAATATCACTGAACTATCAAGTGCTTAAATTTGAGCTTCTTAACGGACCCTAGGAACTTGTACAGAAGGTTCAGGGAGGTTTGGAGGTTTAGGGAAACATGCCATCCGATAGTGGCAGCTACGACTATTCGGCCCAGGCGCGTATGCATTCAGGGCAGCACCTTGGTTGCCCAGTCATCATATTCTGCTTGTAATAAGGGCGCCCTTTTTGGGGCTAGAGATGTCTCTCTATGAGTTATACGGAAACCTTGAACCAAAGAAAGGGGCAAAAGGGCACCAAAGGGCAGGCAAGCCACCGTAGGTGATTGCATCGGTCCGCAACGCAGCGCACCTGTGCTGCCAAACCCTAAACCCTAAACCCTAAACCCTAAACCCTAAACCCTAAACCCTAAACCCTAAACCCTAAACCCTAAACCCTAAACCCTAAACCCTAAACCCAGGGCTCCAACGGAGGTTTCCGAAATTCACTGTTTTCTTTTTTTTTTCGGGGGTGGGGGGGGGGGGGGGGGGGGGGGGGGGGGGTGGGGGGGGGGGGGGGGGGGGGGAAAGGGGGGTCTTTTGAAATCTCTGCTATGTGGGCCTCCAATGGAGGTTCCGAAATGATCTTTTTTTTTGTGTGTGTGTGTGTTGTTTTTTTTTTTCTTGTGGGGGTGGGGGTCTGTGGGCTGCAGGGTTCCGGACACGGCTCAGCTAAAGTTACTACACTCCGATACATCCCCAGCCTTCAGGAAAGGAATGTTGCGAGCTCCCTCTCAAATTGGGCACTTCAGGAACACTCTTGGTTTTCGCTGGGCTTCTTTATTCAGGAGGCCGGCTAGTACCCAAAATGATCCCCATTGATCAACTAGGAAGGGTCTTTAAGCTGACTGGTGCTTGAAGCCCTTTGACAATTACTTTTGAACAAGTTCCCGTAAGCACATCACAAGCGCTTGCCTAGTCAACAAGCCCTCAAACCCCAAAGTAACGTGAGTCCTACTTAGAGTAACCTTGTACCCTTAACAAGGGTAAATACATCCAACAATTGAGGCACTGTTCGCTTTTTTAATGGTGTATCGGTCCCTTGAGGTAACCCCGAAACTACGGGCCTAAACCCTAAACCCTAAACCCTAGACCCCCACAATGAACCGCTCGTCCCATGTCTGCCTCGCCCCAGCCAGGCACAAAAGTGCAGCGCCCCAGCACTCTCCCTGTCTTGCAGGTAGAGGGGGTTTACCCAAACAGCCCAACACCCCTGGTATTGGGATACGCTAAACCCTCAACCCTGAACCCTAAACCCTAAATACGGGGTATGGGGATCTCTGGGTGGCCCTAAACCCTAAACCCTAGACCCCAAACCCTAAACCCTACACCCTAAACCCTACACCCCCTGGGCTGCGACAGGCTCTGCTTCTGATTTCCCGCATTCTCACGTGAAGATGTACAGAGTGGTGCAAGAATCGCCAAATGCTAAAGCCCTATGGTGTAGGGGCCTGAATAGTTAGCATAGGGTTCTGGGGGCTATTATAGTATAAGTGTATAGGGATCATAATGGAATACTATTCGTAATTTTCCGACCCCTCATATTACACCCTCAACCCTTCACAATCTGCCGGCAAGATCTTCGGGCCAACTTTTGAAAACGTGGCGCCCTCAAGAGTTGAAAAACGGAGACATGGGGTTGAGGGTTTAGGGTTGAGGGTTTATATAGGGTTTAGGGGTAGTTCTGTTTCTTGTGTTCTTGAGGACTGCGAGGCTTAGTAGAAACACCCCAGCCCCAGAGCCTCAATCAAACAACCCCCAAACATCCGACGCCTTCCCGCAGGTGGTCGCCAGCCTCAGATGTATGTGAAGTAGGGTATATATTTCTTGTACCCCCAAAAGGACACCAGCAATATTAAACAGGAACCTTATATACACTCACCAAAAACAGAAATATATACCCTGCTTCAATGTAATCCCTTCATGGGCTATTCTGGGGGGACATGCGGGGCGTAACTCCTGATTCCCTTCTGAGAACTAAGAGAGTAACAAGGGCAATGCGTGCCAATGTTGTTAGATGTGATTAAACCCCAAACCCCAAACCCCAAACCCCAAACCCCAAACCCCAAACCCCAAACCCCAAACCCTAAACCCTAAACCCTAAACCCTAAACCTTGAGGCTTCGACTTCCACAGGGTTTAGGACGGAAGTGTGGAAGCAAAAACGCTGCGGCCCAAAAAGAGAGCGGCGTGAGTGGGAGCCAACCTTGACAGCGCGCACCCCTGCGTTGCAAAGATCAGCTGCATCTTGGAATTACCCGTCCTCTCATGAGTAGTGACCACAAGCGAGAGGAAATATTCTATCAGGTCCCTGTTTCGAATGAATATTTCCTCGGCATGGGTACACGTAAGCCAACACAGGCAATGCCCCTTCAAAAACACTGAGACACATGAGCCTCCAGCAAAGAGCGCGCGAGGTCTGGACTCACAACTGTTTTACCGCTTACCTAATGCCTTGTACCTTCAAACGGAGCAAGAAGAAAATGCAACGCATCCAAAAAAGGCTACGTAGGATAGTCTAGTTCCTTTCTGGGGGTACCGGGTACCTAACAGCTATGTAATAAGAAGACACTTTGGTGCCCAACCCCATCTCCAAATAACCGTCCACCACCCCATAACCCTCCAACCCTATAAGCCTTAACCCCATACCCCTCAGCCGCCATTTTTTCATGTTCCAAACCCTAAACCCTAAACCCTAAACCCCAAACCCTAAACCCTAAACCCTAAACCCAGCTGGGAATTCGGGCTTCGGGTTGGGTCGAAGAGCTCCATGTTGCCCAGATGTGGCAGCCACCAGCTAGTGTTTAGTGCTTCCTGAACTCTTCCCCCCTTCATTTAAAGCCCATGCGCGTTTAGGGTTTCGGGTTTCGGGTTTAGGGTTTGGGGCCCCTACCACTCTACCAGACCCAAGCGTAACCTAGGAATAAAGGGTCAATTTTTTGGTTTCAAGCGGCTTATGAGGGAACCTAAGCCCTAAAAAACAGGAAGAAGGGCCTACTCGCCTACAGTCGTGGGCGCACCATTGCCCTCGAGAACCAGGGTGGGCAGATATACCTAACAATCCCTAGGGATCCATGTGCCTATGCATTTAATACTTGGGCTTTAAAGGGGTTCCTATATTCCAGAGCCGTTTTAGGGACCCGAAAAACCCTAAAACCCCCCAAAACCCTATACAAACCCTACTGAAAAAACCTATAAAAAACCCTATACAAACCCTATTTAAAAACCCTATAAAAAAAAACCCTATAAAAAACGCTCTAAAAACCCTCTAAAACCCTGCAAACCGGTGGCAAGAAGCGTGTTCCAAGTGATCAGGTCTGCGGTCGTCGCGCGGCAGCCCTTCAAGATGGGGTTTGGGGCTTTGGGTTGCAAGATGGGGTTTAGGGTTTAGGGTTTAGGGTTTATAGGGACATGGGTTTATGGACTCTGGGTTCCAGGATATTTATAGGGTTTGGGTTGAGGGGTCTCTAGGCCCACAATAATTCTCAACTTTGAAAACCCTGAATCCTGAAAACCCTCGGCCCTAGACCCTAGAACCTGCCCTGAACCCTGAAAACCCTAACCTTGACAGCTGGTGGGCCCTGTGTGTCGTTGCCCCCCTCCCACCCTTTCCTGTGGGTGACGAGGCGGTTCACGTTCACGCGACCGCACATGCGTACATCAACTTCTCTATCGGGTTTAGACGGTTTAGGGCTTCAGGTTTCTGGTGCGAAGTTTAGGGCATAGTGGTTGTTACACCCCATAATTACTTCCCTTAACCCGACCTTTGGCGAGATGATTCTTAAGGGACGCGCGTTGAGGCCTATCCCCTGCGGGGTGTTGCCGATGACGCGGGCGCTTGGGGTGCATTGCAGAGGGGGTTTAGGGCTTCAGGGGCTGACTTATCTTATAGTTTAGGGTTTAGGGTTTAGGGTTTAGGGTTTAGGGTTTAGGGGGCGCACCCCAGCATGGACATTCCTGCAAAAAAACGCAACATCTGATTCGAACCAAACCCGTAAGGCGCCAGCATCTGCCAGCTATGCAAATCAGACCTGCTGTGGGGCCTACAGTCTATTTCAAGATTTTACGTACATCTTAAATAGTTGTTCATATAATATTTTTCGACAATTACTATATTTCGAACTTCTTATATTCTTATACTACACATTGTAATGCCTACTTTGGGCCATTTGAAGAACCCTCACAAAATGCGGACACTGCACAAGGTGTGAGCGCTCAAACCTAACCTAGCAATGGTAAGACGAGACCTTGTAGCCGTTGTTGTCAGCAGAAACGCGTACAGCAACCCTTTAAAGACACCAAAGCCCAGTACACGGGCCCTGTGGAACCCTAGCCTTCCTGTCTACCATATACTTGCGCTTTAAAAGGTTGCCTATGTAGTTGCTTTAGGGCCCAAGTATATTCCATTGTATAGGTTACATGGATTAGGGCTATGTGTACACCCCAACCAAAAAAGCTGCAGCCAAAATCAGCCAAAGTCTCCATGTCCCCCAGAAGCCAGATGGCCGCTGGCCAGGACCCAGTGGGCGACAGTGTACGCAGGGCTGCGTTGTACGTGATCTCGTTGGGCTCGATACTCTCCTCCCGAAGAGCACCCTAACCCCTAAACCCTAAACCCTAAACCCTAAACGCTAAACCTCAGAAGTGCTTCGGGTTTCGACTCATTCTCGCACATGGCCGGAAAGCGTTTGGGGTGCAGGGTGTAGGGTTCATGAGGTACAACAAGAATTAGGGGGTCTAGGGTTTCGGGTTTAGGGTTTAAGTCAATTGCGGGATTTTGACATGGGGCACCTGGGTGCATGGGACAGAAGTTGCCCAGACATGCCCCAACCATTTTAGAAACAGGAATCCCTGAAACCGGTCTGGCTGCCTACATTGGGCAACTAAACGCCAGACCTCAACCCTAAACCTCACATGTTTAAGGGGGCTGTAATGGGGGCAAGGGCTCTCAGGGGGGAATAAGGGGGTTGTATTGGGGAATAAAAATGGTATAAGGAGGGTATAAGGGGGGGCTACTTAGGGTTTAGGGTTTAGGGTACTCAAGCTAGGGGTTTCCAAGGTGCTCCTGACGCATGTTGGACATGAGGTCCATAGCCTGCAGCAACACATGCTCGAACTCTGTACTGCAGACCTGTATGAGAAACTCCCTAACCCTAAACCCTAAACCCTTAACCCGACGAATACACTACTGCGTCTTTGGGTTCCACTGACCTTACCTGCGCGACAAGGCCCACCAACTGTTTCCCACGCACCCAATGTTCAGGGAGAGGCTGCATTTCGGGTTTAGGGTTTATAGGGTATATAGGGTTTATAGGGTTTATAGGGTTTATAGGGTTTATAGGGTTTATAGGGTTTATAGGGTTTAGCAGCACAGCAGGAGAACCTGCAAGGAGGACGGAATCCGGAAAGCGGAAAGAGCCGCCCTCTGTCCTGAAGAACCCTAAACCCACCCTTGGAGTAGACCCTGGAAAAAATATATACTTTTTAGGTACAAGTAACTACAATAGGAACCCAGAACCAAAAAAAGTATTAAAGTATAGCACTCCAAAACCCAGTAAATCCTCATCGATTCTGTAACCTGCCTCGTCTTGGCACTTTTGACATTGTGGCCATACGGCATGAAGGGATCCTGTCTACCTGTACTCGCCCAATTTAGGAAAAAATAAGAGAATCCTAAACCCTAAGCCCAACAATCATAGCAAGGAACCGTAGCCACCCAGAATCACAGGCCTAGATCTACAGGCTTTGACTGATTGTTGACAAGACTTAGACAACAACAATACTTTGTTTGTGTTGAAGAAGCAGACTCAGAAATGCCAATTCGCCAGGAAACGGTTTCTTTCTCCATAACCCTGTTTTGAAGAACGCGCTGCACACCCTAGACCGAATATACCCCTATCAGCGCTCTAAACCCTATATCCAAACCCTATAAACCCTAAACTAGGCCCTTAACCCTAAACCCTAAACCCTAACCCCCCATAAATTTTTAAAGCACAAGCTCACGATCCTGCCTTGCTCTTCCGCCCGCGAAATGCGCCCATCGCAGCCGTGCAGATAACCACGTTCCAGTCGCCAGCCTCGGGCTGTCAAAGGGGAAAGGGTTTAGGGCTTAGGGTTTAGGGTTCAGGGTTGAGGGTTTAGGGTTTAGGGCTTGGGGTTTGGACTGCTTGGGGCTTTGGTTTATAAGGTTTCGGGATGCTTTTCACCCGCCAAGAGGCCCCGGAAGGCTTCGGGTCAGGGAGCATTAACCCCCGGCTTCTGACAAGATAGGGCTGAGCGCTTACAATCGCCCTGAACCCTAAACCCTAAACCCTAAACCCTAAACCCGAATAAACCCTAAACCCAAAACCCTAAAAACCCGAAACCCTGAACCCTGAACCCTGAACATGAGGCAAGCCGTAAGATCTCTGGGCCTTGCGTGTGTCAGCCAGCAGCTGGAGCACTGCCTCCAAAGGAGCGGCTTGCACCCCAAACCCTCCAGGTGTTACAATATTTACAATGACTTAGTTGCTGAGTTCATAAGCCCCAAAAAAAGTGTATCTTTTCAGTTCTACAGGAAATTATAGTATCCCAAAACGTGTAAAGTGTACTCACTCAAGCTACTAAGTTTATGAGGTGTTTTAGTGAGGGTTTAGGGTTCAAAAGGGGGTTTAGGGTTTTTAAGGGGGGGTTTAGGGTTCAGGGCTTAGGGTTTTCAAGTGCTGCAAGGCATGTACTGGGGAGGGTGGCCACACGCCAGCGGGCTGCGTGGGTGACTGCAGTTGGACGTTTTTTGGTTTCGACTCCGAGGCATTAAGGCTCAAGATAACGGGTGGTTGCAGAGTTTGAATAACCCGGAGGCGCTATAATTCCTTTGCTTTTCGGTACATGCTTCAATTTGTGTTTTTTACGAGATACAAACAGAATTATAACTGAAATATAAACATACACACACATAGCCATTTGTTTGCTAATTGATTTGAGTACTTATGCGTGTACTCAGTTGTGATTTTCTTACATGCACATGAACTAAGTACAATTAGTGTTATGTTCTAGGGGATACGAAGTAGACTTACAAACCCTAAACACTTTTTCCCTAAACACTCACTAAACCCTACCCCTAAACCCTATAAACCCTAAACCCTGAACCCTATAAACCCTATAAACCCTGCCCCTAAACCCTATAAACCCTAAACTAAGTCAGAAGAGCTTCCAAGCACAGTACAGCTCCCAAGCCTGCCACTTCAGCTGTCGCCCGAGCTTGCCGAGGGAGGCAGCGATGTCCCGCTGCCTGGCGCGGACCTTCGGGCCCTAAACCGCAAACTCCAAACCCCAAACCCCAAACCCTAAACCCTACACCCTAACCTAAACCCTAAACCCTAAACCCTAAACCCTAAACCCCTAAACCCCTAAACCCTAAACCCTAAACCCCTAAACCCCTAAACCCTAAACCCCTAAACCGCTGCGTGGCACGGACCCTCGGGCCGAGAGGCCCCCCCATCTTCGATCCCAAACATCAAAACTGGGCTCAGGATCCCCAAAGAGCCCTCAAAAACCCCTTAGTTGTTTTTGGGGTTTGGGTTTAGGGTTTAGGAATGATATTCTACCTCATGTACATAAAGGACCCTTAAGATGATTTCATGATTCCAGGGTCATACTTCCTTGTAGCTAAGGATAGAGGGCTCAGTGGGTCCGAGGGCTGAGACCAGTACAACTATTTGCTCAAGAATCCCCCCCCCAAAAAAAACAATAATCCCTACATTACCTTTCTAAGGTTAAGATTATTTGTTATTCGTTTGGGGGTCTTAAGCACAATAATCCCTATATGACCTTTCTAAGAAAGCCTATTTGTTCTTCGTTTTGGGGGTCTTAAGCAACCGGTAGAGAGTAGGCCTGAAAAAAGGGCGTGGTAAAGCATGTAGAGGGCCTTATAGGCGATCTGTCAAAACTGACGGATCTGACAGCGCTCCCAAGAGGGGGTTTAGGGTTTAGGGTTTAGGGTTTAGGGTTTAGGGTTTTAGGGGTTTAGGGTTCAGGGCTAGCCTCCTCCTGGTTCGCTAAATAAGGGTATGGGGCTTTTTGGGAATGTCAGGTGGTGGCAGCTTTTGCCGTGCTCCATGTGCTCAGGGGCACGGCCAGCGAGCATGCACTTGCTGCAGACTCTCGCCAGGCTAAGGCTGCGTTCTGCAGCTCAGAGAACGGCAGGATGATCCTAGACCCAGGAATAAGCTAGGAATCAAAAGGGCGCCCTTTGTGGTTCAAACCCTAAAAAAGGAAATAAGGGCCTGCGGCCTACTCTGGGTCCTCTGATCCGCGTGCTTTGAGCCACCACGGCAAATCCATGGTACGGGTGCAGTTGAGCCCTTTTTGCAGCTTGCCCATGACAGAACGGCAGTGGCCAGCCAGCTCCCAGAGACTCCAAAACCCCTTAATTAAGGAATATACCTTAAATTATAACAGGAACCCTAATATGATTTAAGGTATATTCCTTAATTAAGGGTTTTTGGAGTCTCTGGGCTCGCGTGCCACTACGCTTGCCGGTCGTCGGCATGCGCCGCGGCCTGTGCTGCGTGCAGCGCGGCATCCACGGGAGCTCTACAGCTTGGACAGCTTCCTCTTCGCAGCATCCTTCGTTGCTGAGTTCATAAGCTCCCAAAACAGGGTACAAGGAGGGGCCCCTCTAGTTATAAGTAGAGTGATAAGGACCTTAAATTAAGATACAAGGATCCGAAATTAGGTTATAAGTCCCTTAACTATAGTTAGTATAGTAAGGGGGCCCCTCCTTGTACACTTTCAGTTCTATAGGGGATTACAATATCCCAAAAAGTGCAAAGTGTACTCACTCAGGCACTAAGATCCATGGCGTGAGGCAGTTCTTGTGGAAGAGGTGCTTGCAGATGGGAAGTTCTATGACACGCTCGCTGCGATGAAGTGCCTCAAGGCAAACAGAGCAGCACTCAGTTTGCTGCGTCTCCCTGGCTCTCCGCGGCCGTTTGGTGTTGAAGTCGACCTCACGCAAGCTGCGCATGACAGCACGATCCACGGGAACCTCGCGCACTGAAGGTTCCTCTTGCGCAGCAACCTCCCGGCCCGCTCGGGCTGCAGAGGCAACTGCGGCATGTGCAGCACGTGCCTCGCCGTTGCCACGGAAGTAGCGCTGCTTAGCCTTGGCACTAAGCCCTAAGCCCTAAGCCCTAAGCCCTAAGCCCTAAGCCCTAAGCCCTAAGCCCTAAGCCCTAAGCCCTAAGCCCTAAGCCCTAAACCCTAAACCCTAAACCCTAAACCCTAAACCCTAAACCCTAAACCCAGCCAGAAGAAGGCCAAGTGGCCTCATCCCAGGTGAAGCCAGGCATGTCGCCCAGTGGCCCTGTGGAGCTGGAGGACGACATGGCAGCGGCTGCTGACACTCTGCTGACCGACTCAGGGGCTAGGGTTTAGGGTTTAGGGCTTAGGGCTTAGGGTTTAGGGTTTAGGGCTTAGGGTTTAGGGTTTAGGGTCTACCTTCTCTCTGAAGGCATAGTAAGAAGGCAGAAAAAGGCAGCGGCTGCACGATCAAATGTCCCCCCCAACAAGTAAAACACCAAAGACTCTGTCTGATAACCTTCCTAAACCCTAAACCCAAAACCCTGAACCCTGAACCCTGAACGCTGAACCCTAAACCCTCCCATGCCCCCCAGAAAACACCACAGCAAGTCCAACCAATGACCTTCTTTCATTCCCCTGATCTTTCCTTTCGCTGCGAGACTCGGAAGTCTTGAACCCTAAACCCTAAACCCTACACCCTAAACCCTAAACCCTAAACTAGCCTCAGGTCCTCTCGGCAGGTTCGCACTGGATTTTGTGTTCATAAGGGACCCAGTACTATGGGATAAGTTCTTGCAAGTCCGGATTCCCTGACATAACCCCCTAAACCCCTAAATCCTTTTGGGTCCAGACCCTCCCTAAACCCTAAATCCTAAACCCTAAACCCTAAACCCCCCTTCGCCAGGACGCATGGCACGCGGAGGGGCTTGTGGCCAGGGCATGGGATGACATGGCGCCTCGCGAACTCTTACCCTTCAAAGTCCTGCTGCGTTTAGGGTTTAGGGTTTTAGGGTTTAGGGTTACCCTAAACCCTAAACCCTAAACCCTAACCCCTGAATGTAACCCCTGAACCCCAACCCCGAAAATGGACGGCTGGTCACACATGTGTTGGGATGAGACCGAGAGGTCCTCCCTAAGAGACAGCTTGAAGGGTTTATAGGGCTTGTGGTGCTTGTAGGGATTAGGGTTTAGGGTTTAGGGTTTAGGGTTTAGGGCTTATGTAGGGTTGGTTGACAGGGTTTAGAACTGAAGGGTGGGGTGGCTAGGAGTGGGGCGGGGTGTCTGGTGAGCCGAAACGCTGCCTGTCTTGCCAATTGGATATTCACCCCGCACCCGACAGCAAAGGCTGAGTGGTGTAGGGACTATAGGTAGTATAGAGAGGGGTCGTAGGGGAACCCATGAAAGGAGGACTATGAATCCCGGCAGATGTTCAACAAGCCACAGGAGTTTCTTTAGCCGGCCCCGGCCCCTCAGCATACCGTCACCCTGGCAGAGATAGTCCAGGAGCTGACTTCCAAGAACGCACATCAAGTCTGCAGAGCCCAGAAGAGCCTGTATCATGTTCTGACAACATGCAACAACTCTCTTGTGCTTTAAGCCCTTTGAAAATTATCTTGAGTAGGTGTCCTTATAAGGAAAGAAGGGGAAAGTAAAAACTGTCCCAAACCACAACCCTGATAAGGGGACTGCTGCATTCATGGGCAAGGCAGGAAGAGGTCGGAATCGGACCATCTGGATGAACAGGAAAAACCCGTCTCGGAAGGCTGAAGCTCCTCACCTGGAACATCCTGGAACTGTCAAGTGACCAACGTGTATCTGTCTCACGCATGTTCAGCACCCGTTGCCTGTGTCATGGAGCTGCACCTTTGAACGTGACACTAAACCCCTAATCCCTAAACCCTAAACCCTAAACCCTAGACCAGTCCCGGCTCCTGCACGACTCGTCAGTAAGCTTGGGAGCTTTTCATCTGGCAACCTCGCGAGCAAAGGCAGGTGCTGGCTATCCCGATACCAAGAAACACATCTTTCTGGAGATTAGGGCCTCCTCCAACAGCCCTTGCATACACACAATGAGGGTTTAAGGTTTAGGGTTTAGGGCTTAGGGCCTACTAGGGTGTAGGGTTTAGGGTGACTAGGCAGCGGCAAAAAAGCTGAGTCCGCGTCGGTCGCTCTTCAACTGCACCTGTCACCAGCAGGATTACAAGGTTGCAAGCAGCTCTTGTAGTGTAGCCCCAAACCCTAAACCCTAAACACTAAACCCCACTAACGTGATGCCTAGGGCAACTCGCCTGAAATGTGCCTTGGGCACATGCAATCTGAAGGATGCACTTGGACAGCACCAGTAGCTAAGACGATATATCTCCAAGGACCTTCTATGCTATGCAGCTTTTCCGGAACTCAGGATTTGAGCTCCTGGAGGTATAGGGCAACAGCCTACTACTTCTTTCACGCTGAGCACTCGCATCAGACAGACCTGGCCGCTAACACAAGCCCAAACGGCCAGGAAGCAAACAGCCACATCATTATGACCATTGTCAGGACCAAAAAGGACATTACTATCATATGGACTATCATAAGTCAGAAGAACGATGAATGATGGCGATGAATGATGACGATGATGATGCTGATGGTGATATTGCTCATGGTGGCGGTGACGACGAAGGTCCCAAAGAGCCCAAACCCTTAAGTAACAACTATACCTGAATATACATATATCTAAATTTAAGTATTTACATATTTTTTGTAGAAATTTGGAAACCTTCATACAATTTAAGGTATGTTCTTAAAGCCCTAAACCTTAAACCCTAAACCCTAAACCCTAAACCCTAACCCCTGCTGACCACGGCCTGGGATGGGAATCGCTGCCGCAGCACTGGATGAGGCACTGGAGGCACCTGCGGCAGGTGCGCAAAGCTGCGCGAAGCTGCGAGGATGGGTTTAGGGTTTAGGGTTTAGGGTTTAGGGTTTAGGGTTATGAGGGTTCAGGGTTTAGGGTTATGAGGGTTTAGGGTTATGAGGGTTCAGGATTGAGGGTTATGAGGGTTCAGGGTTTAGGGTTATGAGGGTTTAGGGTTTAGGAGTTAGGGTAGGGTTTGGGGTTTAGTGCTAAGGTGAAGCCTAATAGTAGAAAGGATCCCTCCCACACCACAGCACATTCGCACACATGCGCGAGGTGTTTTCCTGATTGTGTAGTGGTTTTGTGGTGTCTTGCAGCGAACTCGTACACTCAGACTAGACCCAAGAGTAGCCTAGGAACAAGAAAGGGTGCCCTTTTGGTTCAAAGGGGCTTATAAGGGAACCCGAACCCCCCCCCCAAAAAAAAAAAAAAAAAAAACGAACAAGGGCCTACTCTTCCTGGGAAAAGTATGCCGGAAGACCTCACCAAAGACCAAGAAGGGAAGGGAAGCCGAATTTCTCAGGGATGGGCTTTGTGTCCTCTGTCAAGAAGCGAGTGGGGCCCCCGAACCTTTTGCTAGCCCTTTGAGGGTTTGTAAGGTTTAGGGTTGGGATTTTCCCGCTATGCTAGGAGTCCTTAATGGGGAATATCATAGGGGAGACTATAATCCCTATTAGGGACTGTTCGTATAAGGGGGAACACCCCCCCAAGTTTAGGGTTTAGCCCTTGTGGGACCAGCTCCCGGCCGGTAGGAGTGCATGCAGGCGAGGTGATGCACTGCTGTGCAGAAGTTCTCCTGCACACGCGTGTGTCTGCGCCCTGCAGGTGCGTCTCGGTCAGCTGGCTGGCACACAACATCCCCTGCAAGCTTCGAGATACAAGTTGGGATGGTATCTTGGTTGGCTGAGGAAGAGTGTGAGGTTGCATACCAGGATGGGCTATCGCACCCTGAATCGCTCAAAGAGCTCTTTATGTTGCACCCTAAATCACTCCAAAGGCTCCTTATAGGTCGTCAGCTGACTGGTCATGCGTCCTAAGTGTTCCGGGTCTTGCACAGAAGCAAAGTCCTAAACCGCTAGAATGACAACCCTAAACCCTAAACCCTAAACACAAAGACCCAAGAGTAACCTAGGTGTACAGGGTGCCCTTCTTGGTGTCACGGGGCTTATTCGGGAACATAAGGGGACCTGAACCCTACAAAAAGGGAATAATAGCACAGCTCTTTGCCCTAAACCCTAAACCCTAAACCCTAAACCCTAAACCCGCCAAAAACCCCGGCTCTCTGGCCTGCCGGCGGTCGAAAGGCCAGCTCACAGGCGAGTGCCGGATCTTGCGCTGTGTTGATGGCCTCTGCACGAGGCAGCTTCAGGGATTTGGCCTAAACCCTAAACCCTAAACCCTAAACCCTAAACCCTAAACCCTAAACCCTAAACCCTAAACCCTAAACCCTAAACCCTAAACCCTAACTTCCAGTGCCCTATTCCCTTGTTTAGGGGCTAGGTTCCTCTGTTGAGGGTTTAGGGTTTAGGGTTTGGGGTTTAGGGATCCTCATGGGGGGGGAGGGGAGGGGGGGGGGATGGGGGGGTCTGCTGAGAATACTAGAGGCCAAGATCCCTGTGTAGCTCTGCTGTGCGGTTGCTTGATACCATTTTTGTGAACCAACAATTCTCGTTCTACTAGACAAGTCATAGACAAACCATGAAAAACTGGGATGTTCCCCCTTATACTCACAGTGCTTAATAGAAATTCTAGTACAGTATACACCCTAACTAAAGGGGTAACATCACAAAGACAAACCATGAACATTAGGTACCAAAAAGTCTCGGTAGCCCAGTAACCATATTATAAGAAGGGCACCCCTTTTCGGGGTTGGCTATTTTATAAGGGAAACCAGAACCAAGACAAGGGTAAAGGGTACCACTGGGCTACCAGTAAACACAAGTAGAGCTCCCGGTGCGGCGCGCGCGCGCGCGCGCGAGTCTAAAGTCTAAAAAGATGATCCCCCAATGCCTGGCAAAGATCTGAGGACGCTCTCTGTTGCTATACCAGCTGCTTCAGAGCCACCGAAAACAACAAATAACCTTCCTTCTCAGGCCAAGACAGGGATCATTCTTCTTTATCTTTTTGGGAGGTTCTTACGCAAGTCGTAGCTCTCACAGGGCTGGCGCCGCTGAATGTAGTGGTGACAGCAGCATGCCTTTCGCTCCATCTGCCCTCCTTTTTCTTCAGCAGACTGATGGTCTGGTAACTTCCACTCCACCCTTAACCCCAAACCCTAAACCTCAAAACCCTAAACCCCAAACCCAAACCCCCCCCCCCCCCCCCCGGCCCCCTAAGCCCCAAAACCAACAACCCTCCTGAAGGCAACGATGAGGAGGCCTCGGCCCATGTTGCCCAAGCCGCCCAGTCTTCAGCACTGCGTGGGAAGTGCCTCATGGGCCTGGGGGGAATAATGGGGTTTAGGGTTTAGGGTTTAGGGTTTAGAGCCCAACGCCCCTTAGCTAAGGAAAATGCCTGACAGCATATTACAGATCCCTATGCAACTTCTAAGGGTGCATTCCTTAGTTGAGGGCTATAGGGCTCTTTGGGAAAGGAAGATCGGGGGTTTAAGGTCTAAGGTCTAATGGGTTAGATACCTCTCACTTATAAGATGTTAAAGCACATCTGAAGGGGGTTTATAGTCTTACTTCTCCAACAACCAAGGGGAAAGTATCAAACTTTATTCCTACTACACAAAAAAAAAACCCAAAAATGTTTGAAGTTCGACTATTGGTTAAGCAATAAGTAAGATTGCGTCCATGGCGGCTACTGCAGGTTTGGGGTGGGTGTTTTTGGGAGCGTTCGCGCTCTTCGGTGTCGTGTAGTGTAGTAGTGTAGTGTTCTTCTAAACCCTAAACCCTGCTGGCACACCTTGAGGTGGGATTCGCATGAAGTTCGCGATGTCTCAGCATCTGGGTTTTGCTCGAGTCCTACTCGGGTTTAGGGTTTAGGGGCACTTTTTTTCAGGCCAGGGTGTTGGAATTATTCCGGCACCCCCCCCCCCCCTTCCCCCAAACTGAGACTGAGCTGCTGTTCAGGAATTTAAAATGAGGTTTGGGATGTTCCCCCTTAGACCAACAGTCCTTAAATAGGATTATAGTAACCCCGATTCTAAGCCCGACTAAGGACTGTGAGTATAAGGGGGAACATCGAAAATGTGGTTATCAACTGCACTTCCTGCAGTAAATAACATGCTGTTCATTGGATGCCAAGTTAATCGGGCATAACAGCAAGACAGGGCCCCAATTTGTAGCCCTAAACCCTAAACCCTAAGAGAGAGAACTCTCTGAGGGCTGGGCTCTGATCTGTCCGAGGCTGGAATAAACGAGAAGGACAACTCCCGCAGGGTTACAGGTTTAGGGCCTTCGGGTCGCGTGCCCTACCTGTGACAACGCATGTCCGTGCTCGTAAAGCCGGGTGTATGCATCTGAGAGGTACCTCTTCTCCATACACTCTGGAAGAGGTTGAGATGCTGTAGTGACTGTACTGATTGTGGACACCCCTTTTGTCCAAACCTTGGAAGCTTGCAGGGGAAAGGACATTGCCGGGACCCTTGGGGTATGCGAGCCTCCTTACACGCTGCGGGAATTCGCGGGGCACATCTCAGCAATAGACCTTCAACCCAAAACCCTAAACCCTTTGTTGTCTTCTTCTTCTTCTTCTTCTTCTTATCCTTCTGCTTCTTCTTCTTCTTCTTCCCTCTCTCTCTCTGTCTCTCTCTCTCTCTCTCTCAAACCCAATGGACCAAAGTCCCGTTCCGTAGCTCTATGAGGTCCCGACCCTGACACTAAACCCTGAACCCTAAACCCTAAATCCTAAATCCTAAACTCTTAGCATGCCCGGCATCCTCACAAGAAATCGTGAACCCCGACATGCAACAAAGCCCCCCCAAGACTTAAACTAACAGCTCCTGAATAGGGATTATAATGGAGGGTGCTTATAATAGGGGGGGGGGGGGGGGGGTGAACCCCTAAACCCTAACCCCTAAACCCTAAACCCTAAACCCTAAACACTAAACCTAAACCCTAAACCCTAAACCCTAAACCCTAAACCCTAAACCCTAAACCCTAAACCCTAAACCCTAAACCCTAAACCCTGAACCCTAACCCTAAACCCTTCTGCCTAGTCCCTAGTACTAGAATCCCTATTGTGGACCATCCCAAAGTGCACTCCTTGTCCCCCACTGGAAGCAGCTCGTAGGAGTGGCCGAGGGTTTAGGGTTTAGGGTTTAGGGTTTAGGGTTTAGGGTTCAGGGTTTAGTAAGGGTTTAGGGTATTTAGGGTTCAGGGTACTTATTAAACCAATCATAACTGTACTTATAACTGTACTTATAGCCATATTAGGGCACTTAGGGGGGTTATAAGTGGGTTATAGGTACAGTTGTAATTGGTTAATCAGTATCATTAACCTCCAAGTCGGGTTATTTGGGTGGTACCCAAGGACATGAAAGGCTTCCCAGCCTGATTCGAAACAGCCCAGCCAGGACTAGCTCTGTCAGGCAGACTGCGACGTCCATGACATAACCCCAAACCCTAAACCCCAAACCCTAAACCCTAAACCCTAAACCCTATAAGTGTGTAAGGGTTGATTTAGATGCCCGAGGCCTGTCTCTAGCACAGAAGGCTCCTCACAGGAGATTGGGCACCCAGAGGGCTCACGATCCCGATTCCGCCTTTAACAGACCCGGAGCCTTGCGGCCCCTAAACCCTAAAAACCCCAAAAACCCTAAAAACCCTAAAAACCCTAAAAACCCTAAAAAAACCCTAAAAACCCTAAAAACCCTAAAAACCCTAAACCCTAATTGCATCGGGACTTGTGCTGTCGCCCGAACCCTAACTGAACCCTAAACCCTTAACCCTAAAACCCTTCACCTGGGCACATGTAGCCGCTGCATGGGCACGCTGCAGCTGAGCCAGGCGCAAGAAGCTTCGAATCGCTGGCCTCGGTGCATTTTTGCCACCCCAAATCCCTACAGAGCCCTAAACCCCAAACCCCCAAACCCCCAAACCCCCAAACCCCTAAACTCCTAAACCCCTAAACCCCTAAGCCCTAAACCCCTAAACCCCTAAAACCCTGAACCCCAATACCCCTTCATGTGAGGACTATACCTGTTCAATCAGAACATACTTTAAGGGATGCCCCTTCCATTAAGGGGGGCATCGAGGGCTCTTTGGGGGCTTGTAGGGTAAGGGTTGTATCCTTACCCCCTCAATAGGGATTGTAGTAGTACATGGTATGACCCCAATTTTTGGGGTTCATGTCCTCCAGGGTATTGGGGTCGAAAGACCCTACTCTGCAAGGTCTTGGGGCTCTTTTGAGCCATAAGGGGAAGGTTTAAGAGAGAAGCTGCCACACTAGGGTTTCAAGGTTCTTAAGGGCGGTGGTTTCAAGGGGGGTAGGTACCTAGGGATCCTTAGGGAACCTTAGGGAACCTTAGGGAACCTTAGGAACCTTAGGAACCTTAGGGAACCTTAGGGAACCTTAGGGAACATTAGGGAACTTTAGCGAACCTTACGGAACCTTAGGGAACCTTCGGGAGCCTTAGGGAGTAGCAGGGAGTATTAGGGGACTTTAGGTTGCACACCCCCCTTGCACCCCTTTAGGGTTTAGGGTTTAGGGTTTAGGGTTTAGGGTTTAGGGTTTAGGGTTTAGGGTTTAGCTCTTGAGAAACCTATAATAGGGACAGGTTTTTCGAGCCAGCGCCTGGTTCAGAACCAAAAGGGCTGATCTGAGCTCTGCGCCCAGGACCGAGGCTCGTCATCGGCCTGCAAGAGCACAAAGAGTCCCAATCATCCTTTATCAAGGAATGTACCTTAAGTCATATTCAGGATCCCTACACGAGGTAGTGGGAGTTCCATGCCGTTTGCGAGGGTAAGAAGCGACAAAACAAAAACGGCCTCCAAACTACCAACCAAAAGAGCCCAATACCCCTCAATTGAGGGTTTAGGCTTTAGGGTTAGATACCTTAAATTATCTAGGGAGCCTCAGTATGGTTCACGAAATATTCTTTATTTGAGGGACATTGGGCTGGCTCTTTGGGTATGAAAAAAAACCACAAACATATGGGGCAACGCCTGACAGAGCTGTCACGCTGCTCATGGTGCAGTTGCGTCTTCCATTTCGGCATCGGCAGGGATACATTGAAGCACGTGCTCAGCGCAAATGGGTTTGGAGGTTCGCCTTCTTTTGCCTTTGTCCTCCGTTCTCTGCTCTCCGTGTCTAAACCACTAACCCGAAACATACAGGGATCGCCAGTGCCCCAACAGCCACTTTGAAACCTCAAACGACACAGTGAGGCCGACACCGACACCTTGCCTTTGGGTGTAGGGTTTAGGGTTCAGGGTTTATAGAATGGTTTCACGTTCAAGGGTCCCTAAACCCTACACCCTGAGGGATCGAAAGTATGGTTGTTAAGGAGAATGCCAAGCAGGGTCCCATTTTAGCACAGTTGCTGCTCTACTTTGTGCCTACATAGTACCCCCCCCCCCCCCCCTTCCCCGATCCGCCAAGTCCATCGCGTCAAGCGGCGAGAAGTAACCCTAAACCCTAAATCCTAAACACTAAACTGCAGTCTTGCAGCGGGCAGAATCAACCCTGCATGGGCCTGCGGGTAGCCCAGAGACACCTTGTGCTCAAGTCTAGGATTTCTAGGGTTTAACCGCAAGGCGGGGTTTAGGGTTTAAGGATTAGGGTTTAGGGCCTACCCCCTGCGCGCTGTGGTGAGCCCATCCTCGCTCCCATCCTCCCTCCCTTCCCCCCCCTCTCTCTCTCTCTCTCCCTCTCTTTTTCTCTCTCTCTATCTATCTATCTATCTCTCTCTCTCTCTCCGTCTCTCACTCTCTCACGGTCAAACCCTACTCGCTTGGCTTTCTCGGATTCTCAAGTGCTGGTGTAGTCAACTGTTACGAAAAGGGTTCAAGGTTCATATACCTGAACAGAGATTCACCCTACGCCCTAAACCCTCAACCCTAAACCCTACTAGTACAGGGAAAATGAGCCCAAGTTTGGGCTCTTTCAGTCCCTCCTTGGAGGTCAATGGTAATTAAGAAAACCCAATTAACATGTACCTATAACCCAGTCATGACCACGATAGGGCACTTAAGGGGCTTACAAGTGGGTCATAAAGTGCAGTTATATCTGAGATAACCCTAAACCCTAAACCCTAAACCTAAACCCTAAACCCTAAACCCTAAGCCCTAAACCCTAAACCCTAAACCCTACCTCCAAGTAAGGTCTTCGCACTACACATGCTCAGCATGCGGCGGACTGCTTCGAGCTTGCACGAGATGGATTTGTCCCATTCGGCACCTGGCAACGGTCGACGCGGTCTCAGTGCCCTAAACAGGGTGTAGGGTTTGTGTGGGTTTAGGGTTTGGGGTTTGGGCTTCAGGGTTTAGGGTTATAGGGTTTTTGTGGGTTTAGGGTTCGGAGTTTAGGGTTCCGGGTTTAGGAAAGCAATCGCAGCTGTTGCCCCTTGGAACAAAGCAGACCCAGCTTGCTTGACGCGGGACAACTGCTAGACCCAAGAGTAGAGTAAGGAGGGAGAACTAAACCCTAAACCCCAAACCCCAAACCCTAAACCCTAAACCCCAAACCCCAAACCCTAAACCCTAAACCCTAAACCCTAAAACCTTTGTTTTGGTTTAACCGGGGCTTACCAGGGAAACCCGAAACCCTACAAACAGGGAACACGCGCCGACTCCGGGTCCTAGACTATGACAACTTTAGCTATACTCCCCTTGGAACCTCAAAAAGATATATATATATATATATATGTGTACATATACATATATATATATAGAGATAGATAGATAGATCTATATATATATATATATACAACTATATATATATATGTATCTATATGTATCCTCTTGGGTTTTATATAAGCAACAATGAAAACAACAATTCCCAAGGGGGATGTAGCTAGGGGCTGGAGCAGCAGAATTGGTCGAAGCCCCAAGCTGAATTCCTGCTATGACGGAAGTCGTCCGGGCGGAAGGGCCTACATCGCCACAGGCCCAAGAAAGTAAACTGCCACATGAAACTCGCAGAAAAATCATGTGCGAAAGGAAACAAGAAACAACAACTCGGAAGGCACGACACCGGAGATGTGCCTAGAGTCTGTAACCTTGTGCCTTAACGAAAACGTGTTGGTACATTAGCAGCTGCACACGCCTTAATGTGTTTCTTAGTGCTTGGAATTCCTATCTATGCTTACAACTAACACCACCAACTGCTAGAGCGGCTTCGAAGAAGTAAGAAGTAGGGGGTGTCCTTCTCATTCGTGCCCATGGCTTATCGCTTCCGCTTGCTGCAGCAAAAGTGATGCAGTTATCTTCGAAGGGGCACGGGTGCAGGGTCCATATAAAAAGAACTAAACCACAAACCCTAAACCCGAAATAGGGTTCATTGGTGCATATAGTCCGGGTTCGTAGGCACCGCCAGGCAT